CCCGTATATATATTCTCAAAGGAAGAACGTTTCCCTCAAACATCTTATTTCCTCTCGAAACATCTTCCTCCAAGAGCATTACATAAATAGAATCTTAAACCGATCGTGAAAGTCCATTCTTTCAATCGTTTGATTCATACGTGAACAAAAAAAGAGAAAATTTTTTATCATTCGACATCTTCCATTCTCCTTCTTCTTCAATCTCGTTAATAAACTCGGACGTTGCCGAGCGAAAGACAATGGCATTTTATTACTCAAGACAACGATGATTCACCTCTTCCTCTCCCTCTGCGTATCGCGATCGTACCTCAAGATAAATTCCAACAACGGAAAAGAATGGATTCGTCTGTAAAAGTGACAACTTATCGGCCGACACGTGCGAGCATTCCACTTTCTCTCACAACCTTCTTCCTCTTTTCCGCCTTAACCATTCGCCTGCACCACCTCTGTCCACGATCCCACGTGCACTTCCTCCCCCTACATTTCTCCTCGCGCCTCCTCCCCACATTTTTCTTCATACCACTAAATTCTTCTTTATCCCACTCCCTGGAATCACCGCTTTCACGCTCCACCCCGCCATGTTTCTCCATTTCGATTTTCACCACTCCAAGACTCGCACCCTTCTTCTCCCCGGTATTTTTCTCCCGTCAACCTCCTCTTTATCCTCTCCTCTCGCTTCTTTTCATCACGCTTCTCCTCCATTTCTTCTTTCTCTTTCTCTCTCTCTCTCTTTCTCTTTCGTTTCAGGTTTTCCATCCTCGTCGGCTGGCCCACGCATGAATATGCAAACGCGAGCTCGCGAAGCAAACCGATAATATTTCAGTGCGCCTCTCTCGCCCCGAGCGACGTAAATTTCACTTTGTCGATACGTATCCAAAACACACATAGACGCACGGTCTTTTTCGCGTGCGCAGAGACACGAGCAGTTCGCATCGGTGTGCGTAATATCGTGAATTGATACGCGGTAATACGATTTTGGTTCACGGCGGTGTGCACCAACGAAGCGGGCCGGAGATAGGAACGATTTCGCGAGGGGCCACGGCAAGTTGGAAGATTCGGTCCGCCTATTTTTCATCCGCCCGCTCGATATTTTCCGCGGTCGGCTGGTCTTCGTTTCTAACCTACTCTCGCCCCAATGACGAACGCGCGTCCCGCCGGGAAATTTGTTGGGATTCGCGTTCGACCGGCGCGCGAATCCTCTGGATTCGTATAATATCGCTTACATTTAAGGATAAACAGAGAATTACGAGGGAAATAAAAATCGAATGGGAGGAAGCTCGAATTT